ATAGCAAGGATACATCACTTACCACCAGCAGAAGCAAGTGATTTGCCATGGAAACACTTCTCTTGCCAGCAGCTTGGATGTTAGCACCCGTTCCTGTTCTGGACACCTGCCTGAGCCCACAAACGGGACTCGCCTTCGGGAGGCCTTGCACAGCCCCACCTGGTAGAAGTGCCCTGTCCCCAGGGACGTCTGGCAGCTGCTGCTGTGACCCAGGAGTGAGCTGCCTTTGCCCAGTGGTTTCAGTGCCCAGTAGAGCCCAACACTTCACTGCCGAGCTGGCCCTTGTCTTTGGGCCTCTCAGACGTGAGGCACGGAGCAGCGCAGGCCGTGCCGGAGCCCTGGCTGTCACTGCCCTGGCAGGTGTCACTGCCGTGCTGAGCCCTGGCTGAGAGCTGCCATTTCCAGTTCTGCTTCTCATCTTACACCCTTCTTTCTAAGAGGAAGGTGATGAATGGCACAGCATAGCCAGGATTAGCTGCTGCTGCCTCATGAACATCGAGGCAGAGGTGGAGCCCCACACTGCTCCTGTGTGTGGGGACAGACAGACAGCGCTGCCAGTGCTGCACCAGCACGGGCACCGTGAATGAACAGTGAGGGTGTTTGCTGACACTTCTGGTATCCCTACCCTTAGCGAGCACCCTGTGTCTGCACTTTCAAGTTTAAAGCATTTTCTGTCCATGTATAAGATGTATTACAGTGGCCTTGTTTATGGTGGATAAACTTATAGTTAAACTTTCAGTAAACTTCTAGTAAATACACTTTTAGTAAATCATACACTGGTGTTAGAAAATCATAAAACGTGCTAAGGTTAATTTTTAAGGATATAAGTATTTTGCATCCTTTGAATGCTCACAAGCTCACAGTGTACCTCCTATGACTAGAACACTTCTGAAGAAAGCAAATAGAGCTTGACAGTCATGACAATTAAATGGGATTAGCAGCCTCAGAAAATAAAAACTATGATTTGCATTACAGTAATGCTTGCTTGTTTGAAATTTACAAATGAATGTGCTCTTTGTGTGGTTTCAGAGTTAGACTTAGTTTAAAATTTGGAGAAAAATACTTATTATAGTCCTGTTGCTGAGTCAATACCCATAAAAGACAGATAGATGGATGCACGCATTCTTGTAGGACAGCAGCACATCACTGATTTTTGTCTCACCTTGTCTTTTTTGACAGAGCATTAATTTGGATGCTTTTTCTTGCCTGCAAATAGTTTATAATTTGCCTTGGAGAATAAAGGATAGAAACTTCTTTGTACTCAGAGTTGTCAGCTTCTGTAGCTGCATAACACGGTATACACTGGGCATCTGACACGGCCTTTTAAGGCAAACTTTGTAGAGATTCCCATCCCCTATGGAACTGTACAGGAAAGGCCTTCAGTAAAAATGGGCTCCAGGCCAGGACACGTAGGGCAATTTGAAACAGATTTTTTCTAAGTGAGATCATGTGAAAATCCTTCTTTTTTTCTTTAAGAGGGACTCTTGCTTAAAAATGGTTTTTGTAAGTATCTGTTTCTAAACAACTGTTAACTTGTATAGCTGTGTTCAGCAGTAAATGCTTTCTTTTGAGTAAATACATTTGGTTCTGCAGTAATGCCTCATAGTAACTTATGTCATTGTTTCTATTTAGTAGGGTTGAATGACACTGATTTTCTCAAAAACAATTTTGACTTTCTTCAGGTGGGTGGTTCTATGTTTGGGACTTTTTTTTTAAAGCTGCAATAACCCTTCCCCTCCTCCCACCACACTCACCCTTCCTCCTCCTCAAACCAGTGCAGAGTTTAGTAGATATTTAGAGGGGAGGCATAATAAAACTTCCTGTTGGTTGTACAAAACTCTCTTACCCAAAGATGTAGAACTGGCAGAGGCTGGCAGGCGTCGGTGCCCCTGGAGGAGCTGGCAGCAAGGGAAGGCTGCTGCAGCGAGGATGAAGTGCTGCGGTCACAGCCACGGTCTGCTGCCCTGCTTGGACTGTCCCCAGCGCCTTGCCCGGGCCCAGCAGCTGGGCCAGGCTGAGCCTGAGCCTGCCCTGCTCACTGATACTCCTTCACTCAAGGTGTCACAGCCACGGTCTGGTGCCCTGCTTGGACTGTCCCCAACGCCTTGGCCGGGCCCAGCAGCTGGGCCAGGCTTGGGAGCCTGAGCCTGCCCTGCTCACTGATACTCGTTCACTCAAGGAAACCTGACTTAACCATTCAGTGCCTTTGCTGCTTCCCTTCCAAGACTCAGCCCTGTATTCTGGGGTCAACACAGGATTTTTCTTGAGGACTTTAAAGGCAGGACTTCATTTAGACAACCTTTTGGTTACTGAGTAATCCTTAAGAGGTACAGTGAAGTGAATCAGTATGTGGCTTGTGCATACACACAGGACCTGAACACCAATTATTTGCCTAAATATTTCTGCACTTTCTTGCTGTTCTGAAATGCTTGCCTGAAGATGGACTCTGATCGACTGAAAAATCCTAGCTGTCTCCATTACAGATGGATTCTAAACAAATCTTCTTGCCCTGTTTGAATGTTTTTACCATGGCTCTTCCCAAGGATAAAACAGGACATTACTATTGCAAAAACCTTACTTGCTTTCCTGCTAAGGAAGCTCTGCCATTATAGTGCTTTCCTGCTGATACTTCTACTGCTGCAGTCTCTTATTTATAGACAGCATTATCTTAGGATCCCTGGTTTTGCTTGAATAACAATAATTTAATTAAAAATTATTTTTCTGTTGTCTCTAATCAGTTGGTTATATATTAGAAGCCTTCACAGAAAAAGGTAAGGCATCAAGTACACATGCATTTAGGAAGGGATTTGGTTATAGTTAAATGTTCATGGTGAAAAGCAGCTCCTGCCTTGCTGCTGACGTGGACCCCAGCAGAGTATTTCACTCCTGTGTTGAGCATGGGCAGAACACAAGTCAGAGCTGAGGCCACTGCACTCCAAGTACACCCAAGGAGGATGTGTTGGAGCAGGAGCTCTACTGCAGCTCCTGTTGAGATTCCCACTGTGTGACCAGCCTGAGCTGCCACTGCTTTGGTTCACTTCATAACACTGGGGGTCAATTAGAAGTTCCATTATAGATCATAATTGCAAGTCAATACTGTGTTAAGTCAGTGAAGCATGTGTAGTTCAGGCTCATAGCTGGTGTGCTAAGACTAAATGCTCTTTGCTTAATTTTGCAAGAGCTGTTCCCTTAACTTGCTGATATTGTTGTATTAATCATGCCCTATTCAAGTAAAAAGTACAAGTAATTTTTGAAGAAAATAAAGACTAATGCCTTTTTACTATGGTCTGTCTTGATGCCAGCCTTTATCATTAATAAATGATGGTATGAAAATGTCTTTGATATGGAAAGCTACTTCTATTTGAAAGAACCTAGCTGGTTTTAATAAAAAAGTAAACAACAATTGTGAGATTAAATATCAGCAATAAAGCACTGGTCTTTGAATGGATGGAACAGAACTGGAACAAAACAGAACTAACAAATTTAAAGTTCAATCAGTGCACTGTAGCATTTTGTTCTGCAGAACAATAATGGAAACTTAAGTCATTGAGAGCTGAGACCTCTCACAGTCATTTGCAGCACAGCCTTGCCCACACATTCTTCTGGGTGGGTATTTCAAACCTGCTCTCGATTCAGGAGTGCAGCATAGTGACACCACAGCTTGCCTTGTGCTATCCTGAGTTTTGGATGCAGTGTGTATGTGCATCTCCTACCCACTCCCAGCAGTGCCAGCTGTTCTTTTTGCTTGTGTTGAATTGCTGAAAAATAGTGCTTTAAAAGTTTCTACAGGGTATTGAATCAGAGTGTTACTTTGGAGTTTGACTGTCTTTTTTGCTTTGTCACTTTTCTTACTCATAAACTCCAGCATAACAGGCTTATGGCTTGATTTGTACATTACTAAAACTACGTTAAATAAAAGATTGAACTACAAGTTCATGTAATCATAATTTTTTTTCACTTTGTCTTACTTTTCTTCTTAAGATGTATATTATTAGAAAATTAAATAAACATTTTCTAACGTGTTTATGGTCACCCTTTAAAAAAATATTGTTATAACACTTTTTAGTGGTTAAAGCACAGCTTGTCTGGGTGGCCAAATCCAAAATATTTTTGAATGGTTCCTGCATTATAATCAACCTTGTGCATCACCTCCTGAACTTTAATTGGTCAGAGATATACCCAGGAGGGGGTGAGGTAAAGGGCCAGAGCAGCAGATTATCCTTGTCTTTCATTCTTTGTGCCAAGTTCATTCTTGCAATATTTTTGCTGGCAGTAAAGCAAAACAAGAGTATGATAGACAAGGTCTTCTAAAGCTTAGGGTGTGAAATCTGCACTAGTTGTGCTTCAGCTAAGAAAACTAGCAATGGGGAGAATTACCTCAACCAGAAAAACATGCTCTGTGTGAATTGAAAGACCTTGATCTACTACCTTTATGAGAGATAAATCTAGGCAGCTCTTAGTAGCTGGAAGCAGCTAAGGAAGTTCTCAAGGAATCACATATTTCACCTAAATTACAAAAAATGAAAGCCAGATTGAATGATTACGTACAGGGATGGTAAGAATGAGAGGAATCAGTGTTTTCTTTATGAACACCTATCACAGACAGTGCAGTGAGCCTGTTTAGCTGATGTGAGTTGGAGGAGTTAAATGGGTGCAGGCTGACAGGCAGCCAGGTGCTGTTGGTGGGAAGCACTGGGCCCAGTTCACTGGAAATGCTGTTACCTCTGCAGCTGTCCTGGCACCTGTGCACTGCCCAGTCACAGCTGTGCCTGGCATCACAGCCCGCAGCAAGGAATCCAGTACCTGAGCTTACTGGGAGGGGGCAGATTAGAGTGATAAGAGGAGAGTTCTGAGGTTTGCCTTTGGAAAAAGTGCTGAGAAATTGCAGCATGGACTGCCTCTTTGCTGGAGAGACAGAAGGAATGGGCATTTTGAGTAACTTTTATAGCAACACTTGAAGTGACAGACTTCGGCTTTCTTTAGCCAACTTTTCTGGGAGGTATGTTTGAGTTACCACTTACCTGCTTTCTGCTGTAGAACATAATTACTCTGGTTTGGGTAAGGGAAGAGGATTTGCAGAGCAGAAAAAAGGTGTGGAGCAAGAATGAAATAATCAGAATCTGCAGTCCTATTTGGGAGGAAAGTTTGAAAGATTTGTCAACATAGTTGGGCCTTGGGGAGGGGTACCAAGTCACAATAGTTTGCTTATAAAATTACATATTTGGAAGCCATTCTCTTGGGGAGAACAGTGAATAAACTTGAAAGAACATCTAATTTGGTCTTCTGTAGTAGAAATAGATTAGAAAAGTATTCTGAGAAAGATTGAGTGATCATTGATGTTACTGTTTCTGTTTGCAGGCTCCTTCTAGGCTTTGAGAACTACTGTTCCCCCAGAGTTACAGTAACAGTTGTCTCAAGAGATGCTTCCTGGGTTACTACTGGAAAAACAAAATTGTTTTCAGATGCTTTGGAATTTTGTTCTGTTTGTGCACCAGACTGTTCTGTATAATTTTTTTTCCTTTCCCCCTACAAAAGGATATTAACTATGCCTCACTGAGGTCTGCCAGGTTACCAGGATTTTCCATGCAGCACTCAGTGTTGTCTCAGGAGACATTACTGCTCGTGATGTCAGAGCCTGTCCAGATTTGCTGTGTCATACTGGGGCTGGGTTTCAAAGCAAGATTTCCCTTCCCATCAGGGACTAACAGGCTTTTGGCCATTGGGTTGGATCAGCTGTGTCTTAGCTGAGAACAAATTTCATATCCCAGTGGATTTTTGAAACAAAAACCAGCCAGTGGTTTAAAATAATAGATAGTGGATACTACTGGAACCATGTTCTCTGAAGGAATATAAATAGTTCAGCAATATACAGACTAAATAAACAGAGAAAAGGTACTCCATTCCAAGAAGTATAAAGTATGATGGCATGACCAGAAGGTGCTGCAGCTGACAGTGGAAGCTGATGGCTAAGGAGAATTGGAGTCACAAGCCAGAAAATTGTGACTTTGGCAAAACATGATGAGAGCAAAAAGTGCAAGAAAAACTGAGAACATGTTAGAAGAAGTGAGGGTGTTGCAGTAGCTGCTGAGTACAAGAGGGAAGCAGCATTCAGTCCAAGGGCAGGCATGTGTCCGAGTTGTCGGTGCACTCTGGGGGAAGAGATGGTACCATTGGCTTCTTGAACAGCTTGCAAAAACGTCATAAAATCCTACTGGACAGCCAGGGAGTAGAACACTCAGTTCTTCCAGCCAGCTGATCTGGCAACAGGCACCATGCATGACTGCAGGTATCTGTACTTGTAAGATGACTTGGAAACTTTGAGGCATGGTTTGTTCTCACTTCATAGAGTTTTAACTGGTGCCTATGGGAAGAGTGCCAGGAATTTTGGATTAATGCTCATCCATCTCTTCTTTAAAGATTGTAGCCTAAATTTTGATTTACAGAGAAAACAGTGAGATGTTGGCAGGGTATCAGTTACGCTACACATAAAAAAAACCAAGGTTGAATATTAAGCAAAATGGATACAGCTGTAAAATTTTTGTGCTAAGTAGCATTTTGGGATGTAGTGAGAACTTCCAATGGTAATGTTAATGCAGTGTTCTCTGCCTTTCTGTACAACAGTCCATAATGACAGAAAAAAATGCATCTTCAAATACCAGGGCATACTGAGTTGTGGCTTTGAATTTTTGAAGTACTTTCTTCTTTGGTTTTTATCTGTATTGACACATTCCTGTTACATTTGGAGTTCTTGGGCACAAATAGGCCTCCTAGGACATTTGCTTTTGCATGCAATCCAGGTCAACATACGTGAAATTAACAGGAAATTTTAATTTTCCCTTATTTATGGTGTTCATTGGGTTGGTACTTCAAATAGCAAGCTTCCCTTGACAATCACCTTGGTACCCTGTCATTTCATCTTCTTACCCACTTTCAGTAAAAACCAAAACTTCATATTTTTCCAGTCTTGGGTTCCCTGTCTCAACTTACATAGTGTGCTATTTATTTATGCTATGACTAAATAATCAGTGATTATGTCCTTGCCACTCCATCAGCTCTGAAGCTGAAGATTAGATATGTAGAGTAATCTGTTTATACCATAGAATTTTAACCAGAAAGTTCTAGCTTGCTTGTATAATTGAAATATATTTTAAAAAATCCTTGTCCCTCTAATGGGAAGAAGTTACCCTTCTGCGCCTTTTTCTTGGTTATTCACATAGCCACTAAGCTCTTAACACTTTTATTCTCCCAGGTATTTAGCTGTGTAAATTTTAGATAGGTGATTCAAAAGTGTGTTCTAGAGCAGCAGGTGATGAACGGGAATTCTGATAACAATTTGGGAGTGGCTGTGGTCTGCCTGACTCCTACTTCTGAGCAGTAAGAGCTGTCAAGAACTTCTTTTGCCTTGATACCAGGAGAGAATTTTGCTTTCATCTTTCCCCATACCATGACAAACCCTTAAAAGGGGGAGGAAAAATATTTCATCACGAACTAGTGCCAAGCAAATGAAAAAGAGGTATCAGCATTGGTAGCTTTGGCCTCAGCAGGACAAATCGCTGCTGAAGGTAGTGCTTATTTCAATGCAAAGGATGTTTGCAAAGGCAACACTGAAACCACAAAAATTCAATTTCACTCAAACAGTTCTGAATTAATAAAGATTGAAAAGTTGATAAAGGAACAAATTTCTGTTTAAAATTGAAGCTGTACAAGCTTAGGTCTTAAAAGCTGGAGGTTTTAATTTGTTGTTTTTCTTTGCTTTCAGTAGTTTATGATCTGGATGTGTAAAAGTAAGATTAGTATTAAAACCCCTGGCTAAACATGGATTAAATTCTGTACAAGATGAATATGCTCCTATACTTATTAAAAATTCAGTAAGCTTTCTCTATTCAAGCTTGTATTTTAATTGAAAAGTTAGTAATTTTGTGTCACTTTAAGCAAGAATATGGCCATACCAAATTCCTCCCTATGAAGAACATGAAAATCCAAACCTTAGGGCTCTCTCTATTTTTCTGTCCTCTTTGGTGAAAAGGCATATATGTAACCTCTTCCTATGCTGTCTTATCTTGGAGTGAAGTCCTGGTTATTTCTCTTGCTCTACATGTACTTTATTTACCTCAGAAAACCAAAATGTACAACCTACTCTGCTGCAGTTTTATATGGATACACATCTTAAGTTTTGTCAACAAACGCAGTTCCTATCATAGAGTGTTGATGTACTTCAACAAGCACATGCTTTTTTGGTTGAAACTATGATGAGAGAGCAGTTTTTTTCAAATTAAATTTAGCATGCTGCACATTAAACCTGGGGAGGGCAGGAAGCCTGCAGCATTAATCAGAAATTTCATCAGACCTAAGAAGTGCAAACTGTTATGACATGATGTTTAACTTCAAAAGTCTTGTCTTTTATACCTGCTTTTTAACTTAGTAAGATTTGTGTTTGCTAGTCCCAGTGTAAAAAGTAGTGTAGTGTGTTTAAACTCTTCCTTGAGATCCTGTTACAGTAAATTTCTAGAGTAGCAGCAGTGCAGCCAGCTGAACTCTCAAACTGGAGATTTGGCAAACACGGAGCCCTTAGCGTACAGTGTGTACTGTGTAATTTGGAAAAGATTAGTATAAAAGGACAGCTCAAAGTCCATATGATATCAGTTATGGTGTGAAGTACTGGTTAACATCATCACTCAAACTAAACATGCTACAGGCACACGGAGTAACTTCAAGGGACACAGACAGATCATTAAAGCTGGCCAGCAGAACTTTGCTAGCTTCCAGGAGTTCATGAGCTTGATAAAAACGGTGATGATTGTTACTGTCCCTGTACTACACATGGAGAGAGGGTTTCTACACTCTGAGATCCCCCAAACAGGAAAGTCCTACCTGAACAGAACTAGGTGTGAGAATCAGGTGTGAAGGTGCTAGAGGAATCAAATTTAACCCAAGGATTCCAGCCTGAAGGATACATTGGCATAAACACATGTATATCAGTGTGTCATAGGCTGGTAACATGCTGCATTTTCCTTCCACAACCTTGGATCACCTATAACTTTGACCACTTGTATAAACTGGTTTCCTTTCAAAGATATTTCTATTAAACCTGTATCTCTGAAGCATCAACAGAACATCAACATCAACAATTTTATGTATCTTTCGACATTTGCCAGAAGAAAGAAATGAACAGTTGGCTTCCTGCTATCTTATATTTAACTTGTGTAAAATCCTATATCCATTGCTACAAATGAATCATTTCTACAGTGTTCTGAAACTGTAGGGTTTTTTTTTCATGGCACTGATGGTACTTTGAATGAAGCTGCTTAGCTACTGCTTTCATCTTCAGTGGACAGTATTTTCTTTTGCTGTAGACTTGTAAGATTTAAGTATCTTCCACGAAGGTTCAGTATTTATAAAGGATCAAATGTTGGGATATTTTTGATTAGTAGTAATGGAAAAAGACATTTTTTTTTACATTCATATCAAAGCCTCTGGCTTCACCTCATAGATAGCAATCAAAGGAAAACTGGAACATCTCTGATATCCACATGTGGAAAATATGAAATACTCAGTAAGAGTGTTACATAACTTCTGGTTGTGCCATTGGGAATAGAAGAGCTAAGGATTCAGAATAAGTGTAATGCCTTATTTCTGGTAGTATCTGACCTGTCACTCTCCCTGTTTAATCCCTTCTTCTCACATGTTTAAAGCCTGATTTGAAAGATTCCACATCTGAGTTTTCAGATAGATGCAATATAATCTGCAGCGAAACTAGCACCAATTTTTACTTTTTGTAACTTAGTTTCCCACCAGCTCAAAAATCAGAACAAAAATAATGCTTTTGGTGGCAATAAGAACTCTCCTCATGTGTATAAGTGTTTTTTACTTCCTGTCTCTAGATAACCACTGTAGTGATACCCCAAGGCAATTTAAAACCTCTTGAAAAGCTCAAGATTTGAAACATTGTAAAGTACTCCAACATAAAGTAAATATCCTTCAGAAGTGATAAAATTCCACCTGATTACTTCCCAGGTCCCTAAGCAATGGGGTCAGTAATTTAATATTCAGTTCAGTTGTAATCTCACATATGGAATGCACTTACTATTAAATGAGGAAAATTTCTGATTTTTTTTGTTTTTTGCCTGCCAAGAAAGATTAAAATAGCCACACTTGCAGAAGTCTTTAGGGTTCTCACTCTTACTGGCTTCCATATTTACTTTTTTTTATATTGGGAAAATATTAATCTTTATGTCTGTTGGTGGTGTGATCACAAACTTAATTTCCTGGAGCATCAAAATAGAAAGTTCTGGCCTTTCTATGAATCCTGTTCCTTCACTTGAATTGGAGTATAGAAATAAATTATATACTGTACGTCTTGCCTGTACACGTAACTTAAGGTTTTGTGGGTGAGGTCACTTTTGCAAGATTTTAATAGGTTCTGTAATATGTAAGCAGAGTACAATGCTACAATTCAGTCTTTTGGGGAAGATGTTTTGGTATCTTTCTCCCTTGCACATATATTTATTTTCACACAAAATCTAACTGGCTCAGTTCTGTCCAAGACTGCTTTTTTTTCCAGAGCGAGCTAGTTGGGTTCTGCCAGATGTTACTGGGGAGACAGATTAAGGCTGTGATCACGTAAGCTTTGCTTCCATAGGAAATAAAAATATCCATGAAAAATCATTTGTAAGCTAATCACTAGGTTAGGAAGGAGAAAGATGACAGCTGACTTCTTCATACACCATTTTCAAGATGCTACCCATCCCTTGCTATTGTTACCATCACTGGAAATGAATGTGGTTGTGCTGCTGCTGGGCAAACTTAAGGGCTTGCAAGGGGGGCTATCTGTCACCCACAAGACGAGACCACAGCCATGTCCTTTGAAGCTGTGACCTTCAGTTAGCTTTTCTAGTCTGCTTCTAATCTTAGCTAATATCCAAAAGGTGTGATTAAAAAATAAAGTAATGATATTTTCCTTGTTATCTTGTACATAATGCTGCACAGAATTTTACACCTTAGTCAAGATCTAAATATAGAAATGGGTTAGCCCATTATCCTGATCTGTAACTAAGGCACCATAGCACTACTATTACAAATAGTCTAAGGAGAATAAGTAATACTCAGACAAGTTTTTGAAGTAAAGCCAGAGATACAAGAATTTTCCATTCCCCTTAGAAGAAAAATAGGGAACAGAGTACTGTAAATTGTAGTTTGGTCAGTTTGGAGTCAGGGATTACTAATGCTAGCCAAAATGTAGCAATTGCCTCTATCCAAGTAATTCAGATATGTTGGCATTATAATCTCCTTCAGTATAAATGTAGCTGCTAATAGCTGGCCTTTCTTGGCTGAAGTCTTAAATTGTATGTAAAAAGTCTCAGA